ATAAGAGCTAGTTAGAAACAAGCCTACGTTAAGGCTGAGCTTTCATAATTAATAATAAATCTCTGTATTGATTTTTGTGAGCTGGTGGACCAAAGAAAAATCCTTCTACATCTTTCTTCTTTACATTGACCTTTTTTTTTTTTTAAAGATTTTATTTATTTATTATGTATACAACATTCTGCTTCCATGTATATCTGCACACCAGAAGAGGGCACCAGATCTCATTACAGATGGTTGTGAGCCACCATGTGGTTTCTGGGAATTGAACTCAGGACCTCTGGAAGAGCAGTCAGTGCTCTTAACCTCTGAGCCATCTCGCCAGCCCTACATTGACCTTTTAAGGGCATTTTAAACCACAACAACAGGAGCAGTAACGAAGACCATAATTGTGAGTCCCAAATGTTATGATGAGCAACTATGTCCATACTTGACTTTTGGAGAGAGTTGCTGTGGCCTTGGCAAATGGAAATTTTATAGTAGGGCCTGGTGCCATAAATCTGTAATCCCAGCACCTGGGAGGCAGCTGCAGTGGATTCAGGTGTGCAAGCCCCACCTGCCTCTAAAAACAAAAGAGACAGGTGGCAGAGGCAGGCAGATCGCTCTGAGTTGAGGCCAGCCTGATCTACAGATCAAGTTCCAGGCCAATCAAGGCTACATAGTGAAACATTGCCTAAAACAACAACAAAAACCCGAACAGTAAAAATCGTGGAACTCTTTTGTTTGTTTGAGACAGTGTATCCTGTTTTTCTGTGTCGTCCCACATGTCCTAGAGTTCCCTGTATAACAAGGTTAGCCTCAAACTCACAGAAATTCTTTGCTGCCCCCAGTCCCACCATGCTGGGGGATCACTACCACACCTGTCTGTGAAATTCTTCATAATATAATTTTTCCAAAATTAAAGATGTATAACTGAGACAAGATGGGTGGTAGTGCCATTCATTGAATGGTGATAAAGAAATGTAAGGTTGATGCTGGAGAGATGGCTCAGCCGTTAAGTGCACTTTTTCTTGCACAGGACCCCAGTTCAGTTCCCATCACCCATAAAGTAGCTGACAATTGTCTGCAACTCTAGTTCTAGAGGATCTGATAACCTCTTCCGGCCTCCTTGAATAGTAGTCATACACATGGTGTACATATATGCAGATAAAACAGTCATATATATATAAATAAAAACAAATGTTTTAAAAAGAAAATGGAAGGTAGTTTTCTTATTTGTGTTTTTAATGTTTCTTTTTAGATTCATTTTGGGTATGAGTATTTTTGCCTGCATGTATGCGTGTGCCTTGTGTGTGTAAACATTTCCCACAGAGGTCAGCAGAGGGCATTTGACTCCCTGGAATTGGAGCTCTGGATGACAGTGAACCAACACGCAGTTGATGGGAATGGAAGCCAGGTCCTGCACAAGAATTGCTCTTCTAATCACTGAGCATTCTCTGACCCTGGTTTTTGAGACAGGGTCTTGTTATGTAACCATAGCTAGCCTAAACTCACTGTGTAAACCAGGCAAGCCTTGAAGTTGTAGGTGATCCTTCTACCTCTGCCTCTGGAGTACTAGGATTATAGGAGTGCACTACCATGCCCCGTGTTCTAGTTTGAGTTCTGTTGCTGTGATAAAACATTTTAGCCAAAAGCAACTTGCAGGAGGAAAGGGTTTATTTAGTCTTTCAAAGTGACAGAAGTGACAGGCCCTTTTTCTTTTTTCTTTTCTTTTCTTTCCTTTCTTCCCTTCCTTCCTTCCTTCCTTCCTTCCTTCCTTCCTTCCTTCCTTCCTTCCTTCCTTTCTTTCTTTCTTTCTTTCTTTCTTTCTTTCTTTCTTTCTTTTTTGAGACAAGGTTTCTCTGTCCTGGCTTCCCTGGAACTAGCTCTATAGACCAGGCTGGCCTCAAACTGACAGAGATCCACCTGCCTCTGCCTCCCCAGTGCTGGGATTAAAGGTGTGAGCCGGAACACCTGACTAGACCTAAGTTCAATGAAAGAAAATATTCTTTTTTTAAACTCGAAAAATTATGTGTCTCTGTGTGGGTATGTGCACGTGAGCACAGACACTAGGGAAGGACAGGAATATCAGATGCCCTTGGAGCTGGAATAGACTGATGTAAACCACTAATGTGGACACTGGGAGCTGAATTTGGCTTCTTTGCAAAAGCAGTACATTCTTAATTGCTGGGCATCTTCCCAGCTTCATCATTTTTCTTAATTTTCTTTGTTGGTCTGGAGACTGGAATAGTTCCAGTGTTGAAGTTTAATGTTCCTTAATAGAAAAAAACCTGATACCTTGCTATGCGCTGGGCACAGTGCTGCATCCTGGGGATGCCTAAATGAACAAAAATGATGATCTTGACCTTATAGAGTCTGAAATTCTATCAGAGAATAACAATATGTAATTATAGACTTTAAAAGACTTATTTCCAGCCAGGCAGTAGTGGCACACACCTTTAATCTCAGCACTCTACTCGAAAGGCAGAGCCAGGCCTATCTCTGTGAGTTCGAGGCCAGCCTGGTCCACAGAGTGAGTTCCAGGATAGCTAGGACTGTTACACAAAGAAACCCTGTCTTGAAAAACGAAACAAAACTGCCGGAGTCCAGCTCCAGCGGGGTTCAGGTCCCAAAGAGGAGGTGTGGAGTTGGTGAGGGAAGGAGACTAGCAGGATCTGAGGGTGAATCAGGGTGGCTGCCTGTTTACTGAAAATAGGCTACACCTCGTATACTCTATAATTGCATCATAGTTTGAGCACAATCAATATTGAAAGCAAACAATGATTCTGGGGTGAAAATGGTCATCAAAGCCATTACAACATTCAGCATTTTTTTTTGTGAAGCAAAAACAGTAAGTTTAGCAAGAATCCAAATGCCTCTTGTCCTCTAAGGTTCAGTAACCCCACAAGTTGCCCCTTTACACTTCCTCCTGTGTGGTCTCAGCCTTTGTGGTCAGGAGGTGCCAGACATTGAGTCCTGAGAAACAAACCGGTAAGAGCAATTTTCATTCCTTAAGGGACATGATGCAGCATTTGTACCATGTAGTACAACAAGCATTGTGCTGTTTCCTAATTGTATTCCTTATTGCCTTAGTCTTATAATATGGGCCTGTTCCCCTCATAAGCTCTCAAAGGGGAGGGGCCTGCATCTTACTCTTTTCCATTATACCATACCATTCTGATTCCTTCAGTGTGTACTCCTGTATATGGCAGAGGGGGATAAAGCCAGTCTAACTTCCCTAACAGAATCTTCTCTCCATGGGCCATACCAGATCTTGCCATGCATCCAGCAAGCCACTAATACTGGGCACTATTCTATACTTATTAACTGAACCCTTACCCTAAGTGGACTCAGGCTCTGGATCTGCACCCACTGTTTCTCTCTCAATAGTGTGTTTTTCATCTCTATTCTTGGTGTAATCAACAGGGGGTGCATAATAGGGAGTCTTGTGTGGGAAGCAGGCAGAGTTACCGTGCTATATAGTTCCACGGTGGCAGGGAAATTTTTTTGTCTGCATATTTTCTTATCCTTCACCAAAGCTCATACAAAATTTCCTAAAGGAACAGGCATAAGGAAACTCCCATAACCCATAGTGACAATTATTAAAAATGAAAGTAAATGGGCTGGAGAGATAGCTCAGTGGCAAAGAGCACTGACCACTCTTCCAGAGAACCAAGGTTCAATTCCCAGAACCCACATGGCAGCTCACCACTGTCTATAACTCCAGTTCTGGAGGATCTGACAACCTCAAATAGACATATATGTAGGCAAAGCACCAAGAACGTTTTTAAAAAATCATGGAAAGTCAAAAGGTGCTGAAAAGTTGTGATTTGCAATGTCAAAATGCTAGAACACTCTCAAGCAACAGTGGTTGCCATGCAGTCCATGCAACAAAACAAATAGTTTTTACCAAGCAGTGGTGGCACACACCTTTAATCCCAGCACTCAGGAGGCAGAGGCAAGCGGATTTCTTTCTTTCTTTCTTCCTTTCTTTCCTTCTTCTTCCTTCCTCCTCCTCCTCCTCCTCCTCCTCCTCCTCCTCCTCCTTCTTCTTATTCTGGTGTTTCAAGACAGGGTTTCTCTGTAGCTTTGGAGTCTATCCTGGCACTCGCTCTAGAGACCAGGCTGGGCTCCAACTCAGAGATCCACCTGCCTCTGCCTCCAGAGTGCTGGGATTAAAGGCATGCGCCACCGACACCTGGCTTTTTTTTTTTTTTTTGCAGGCTGATTTCTGAGTTTGAGAGCAGCCTGGTCTACAAAGTGAGTTCCAAGGACAGCCAGGGCTATACAAGAGAAACCCTGCTCAAAACAAAACGAAACAAAACAGATTTATTCTCTCTGTCTCCCTGGTGTGTGTGTGTGTGTGTGTGTGTGTGTGTGTGTGTGTGTGTGTGTGTTGTACAGGTGCAATGTCCTTGGAGGCCAGAAGAGAGCATCAAATCCCTTGAAACTGGAGTTTCAGGCAGGTGTGAGCCAGCAAACCATCTTGACTTTTTAGGGGTTATGAACGAAATACAAGGATAGATACTTGAGGTGGGTGTACTCCTGAGGGGTGAAACCACGAGATAGGCTTCTGAGGAATACCTTTGTAGCAAAATGTTTGCATGACCACATCTTTTATTTCCTGGGAAGATTCTGTAAAAATGTTAACCCCAAACTGATTATTTACAATTTTAAAATATTTTTGGATAAATTTTAGATTCACAACAAAGTCAGAGTTCTCATGCCTTCTGGCGGCCTTCTTCCCAACGATGCGATGTTTTTTTGTTTTGTTTTGTTTTTTTTTTTTTCTGGTGTTCAGGATCCGGTCCCATCAGCTCCCACATGCTAGGCTCCATACATGCTTTTTTGGTCCGCTTGATTTATATGAAAGTTTTCGGGGGAGTATGTAAAGACATGGAAAACAAAGAAGCACTCTGATTTATCAAATCATGGTGAAATAGATTAGGGCACAGGTGTCAAAGTAAAAACTACGTTTCCCAGGGTGCAATGCAGCACGTCACAGAGAAGTATCGGGCATGCGCAAAGGAGTCCTCCGCGCTCGACCGCGCTCATAAGAGAAACAGCGTGTGTGGTTCTTGACGTGCCGCGAACCTTCGAACACAAGTGCGATACTACCCTGTGAGGAAGCGTTCCAGCGACTCTCCTGTTCCCGCCATCGCAGTTGCCAGCGCGACGTGCTTTTTTACCCCAGACTCGGTAGGTGGGACGGGACCAAGGCAAAGCACTTCCAAGCAGCGCGGGAACGAAGGGCCAGCGCTCCTGCCCGGCTCCCGGCTCGCTCAGGCGGCTTCGGAAGAGACGCGCAAGCGCCCTAGACGGGGAAGGGGGCGGGGCTGTGGGTGCCTGCGCCCCGGCTCCCTGGGCCTGCGCGTGCGCCTTGCGTCCCTGGCGAGGTGGGAAGCCGCTGGAGCTGGCTTACCTTGGGGTAGGCACCTGGTACTCGGCCTGAGAGTGTGCTCCAGACACCTGCACTTTTTGCTGCTTGCTCAAAAGCTTATTGGTTTTTTGAGACGGTCTCGCTCAGCCTGGTCTTGAGCTCGCAATCGTCCTGCTCCAGTCCCAAGTGCTGAGATTACAGACTTGAGCCACACGTTCCCTAGAGGTGTCCATTGACACAGCAGAGTAACTTCATCCCACCCTCCAGTTCACTCACCCGTCAGCTCACACATGCATCCTAGGGCGTCGGCTTCTACTCCTAAGTATCTTCCCCCACCATTCTCTCTCTGTTCTGCTCTCTCCAGGCAAGCCCTGTCTCATGTCATTCCAGAGAAACTGCTCTACCAAAGCCACCTTGATTTCTAGATTGCCAAGTTCAGTGGTGAAGGCTTGGAAGTATTCTCTTCAATTGCCTAAAACTCTTGCTCCATTTCCTTATCTTTAGTGGTTATACCATGGAAATACATAAACACTACATCTTACCTTTCTTTCGGTTCACTCCTTGGGTATTGTCTGTTTCACACGTTCAGTGTAAATAACATTTATTTGGTGCTACTCTCTTTTCTATCTTTTGGTTTTATTTTTTGAGATAGGATTTCTCTGTATAATAGCCCTGGCTGTCCTGGAACTCATTTTGTAGACCAGGCTGGCCTGTAACTCATAGAGATCTGTCTGCCTCTGCCTTCCAGTGCTGAGATTAAAGTCATGGGCCACTATGCCTGGCAACATTTTATTTCTTAAAGATTATTTATTTTTATTAATAAGAGTATTTTGCCTGATGTATGTTTATACACCACATGCAGAGACCACTAGAGGTTATTGGATCTCCGGAAACTGGGACTAGTCACCACGTGGGTTCTGGGAATTGAACCTGGGTCCTATGGAAGAATAGCCGTGCTCTTGACCACTGAGCCATTGCTATTATTATAATTATTATTATTTGGAGATAGATTATTTGGACTCTGTAGTCCAGACTGACTTTGAATTCATGATGATTCCCCTGCTTTGATCTCATGAGTGCTGCAGATTTTTTTTTTTTTTTTCGAGACAGGGTTTCTCTGTGTAGCTTTGGAGCCTATCCTGGCACTCGATCTGGAGACCAGGCTGGCCTGGAACTCACATAGATCTGCCTGCCTCTGGCTCCCAAGTGCTGGGATTAAAGGCGTGTGCCACCAACGCCTGGAGAGATTTTATTTTTATTTCATGTGTACAAGTGTTTTGACTATGCATATGTGTGTGTATTAAGATTCTCACAAAGGTTTTTAAATTGGATCTTCTGTGTTGAAAATACCAAATTGGTATCACTAAAATTTGTGGCCACAGCCTATCAAGTAGAAAGCTGAACATTTAGGATTGGAAGTTGAGTGTGGATGATCCTAAATGTTGCTTGTACGTTCAGGTTTAGATTGTAGTCACAAAAAAAACTGAATTTGAGGGGCTGGAGAGATGGCTCAGCCGTTAAGAGCACTGACTGTTCTTTCAGAGGGCCGGAGTCCAATTCTCAACAACCACATGGTGGCTCACAACCACCTTGAATGAGATGTGGTGCCCTCTGCTGGCACGCAGCAGAAGACTGTATACATAATAAATAAATAAATAAAATCTTTTTTGTTTGTTTGTTTTTTTGATTTGTTTTGTTTTTAGAGACGGAGTTTCTCTGTGTAGCTTTGGAGCCTATCCTGGCACTCGCTCTGTAGACGAGGCTGCCCTCGAACTCACAGAGATCTGCCTGCCTCTGTCTCCCGAGTGCTGGGATTAAAGGAGTGCGCCACCACCGCCCGGCAATAAAATCCTTAAAAAAAAAAAAAAAAAAAAACTGAATTTGAACCACATCTTTGCCACTTACTACTTTTGGACCTTGGTAATTACTTCTTCAGATTCAGTTTCCCACAAGTACTAAATGAGCAGTCCTTTTCAGGGTTGTTAGGAAAATGACCTGCATGAAAGCAGTTGGCATCTGGTATTGCTTAGTAAGGGACAACTGTGATTTCCCTGTTAGGATGCAGCATAGAGGTACATGAAACAGTGTTAGCATGGGTTGGGTCACAGGGTTATAGAGCTGAGAAGTCTGATGGTCTGCCATCTAATAAGCTGGAGGCCAAAGTAGACCAGGCTGAGCCCAAAGCCTAACAACTGCAGTTTGGATGATAACCACTTCTGGAAACATCCTCACGAGTACTCCCAGAAATACTGTTCTATTAACAGTAGAACAGTCAGCTTAACACATAAAACAGCCATTACATTCCTTATCTGGGACTTAAACCTCAGGTCTTGGGTAGGCTATGCTGTGTTCACTGCCCAACAGAGCCCTTGTGTTCTTTTTTTTTCTCTCTCTCTCTCTCTCCTTCCTTCCTTTCTTTCTTTCTTTCTTTTCTTTTGAGACAATGTTTTTCTGTGTAACAGCCTTAGCTGTCCTGTAACTTGCTCTGTAGACCAGGGTGGCCTTGAACTCACAAAGATCCACCTGCCTCTGCCTCCTGAGTGCTGGGATTAAAGGCGTGTGCCATTACTGCCCTGCCAGGGTTCCTTTGTGTTTTCACAACAGGTTTTCTCTGTGTAGCCTTGACTGTCCTGTAACTTTGTAGCCCAGGCTGGCCCCAAGTTTAGAGATTCTGTTGACTCCTGAATTCCGGGCTTAAAGGTGCCTGCTGCCACCACCTGGCAGCCCTGTGTTCTTTTTCAATTGCTACATTGACCATGGGCATGCTGATGATGTATTCTGTGTAACCATGGTCTAGTAGCAGTTTACAGGAGGAAAAAATGTTTCTTCTATGATTTCCTTTCCTATGGAAAATGCTGAACTGCAACAAAATTTTAATTTAGAGGAAGACCTGGAATTTGCAGCCTTCTAACCATTAAGTCCCAGTTTTACTGGTGTTCCTGAGTTATCACCATAACTTCTCACTTTTCAGCAGCAAAGAACCATGCTTTCCCAGTGTCTTTCCCCGAGCTCATTTTTCTAGTAGCTCAGTGGGGCCTTTTCTGAGCTCCTTTTTTCTTAGCCTCTTCCCACTAGTCCTAAGGCTTTTGCAACAGCCTGTAGGTTGACTGTTTTTACATTTACCCCAGTCATCTCTAATCTAAGCTCCTTATTCACTACATCCCATGATTCTAAATAATACATGATTTTTTTTTTGAACCAGAATCTTTTCGACCATTTTTACAACCTACACTCTCCTGAGTGACCTGGAACTTGCTTTGTAGACCAGGCTGGCCTCAAACACATAGAACCTGCCTTCCTTTCTCCAGAGTGCTGGAATTAAAGGAACATGTCACCATGCCTAGCATAACTAGAATTTTTTCTCTCCCAAGATTTATTTATGTGTAAAAGTTTTTTACCTTAATGTATGTATGTGCATCATGTCTGGGGCCCTTGGAGGCCAGAAGAGGATGTCTGCTCTCTTGGAATTGGTGTTACAGTTGTGAGCTATCAAGTGGGCACTGGAACTGAAAGCCAGGTCCTCTGCAAGGCAGCAAATGCTCTTCACTGCTGAGCTGTCTCTCCAGCCCCATAACTAGACTTTTATATTTTTTGAAAATTTGCATTTTGGGAATAGTCAGATTTGGGCAGGGTATCATTATTTTATAGCCCCAGGTAAGCCTTAAATTCAAATTACTCCTGCCCCTGCCTCCAATGTGTTGGGATTATAGACATAGCATCATGGCTCTTTATTCTTCCTTTCTTCCCGTCTCTTCTCCTTCCCTTCTCCTCCTTTCCTTCCTTTTTTGGAGACAGGGTCCCACTATGTAGCTCTGGCTGTCCTGTAACTTCATATGTAGATCAGGATGGACCTGAACTCACAGAAATCTATCTGCCTGCCTCTGCCTCCAGAGTCCTGGGACTAAAGCTGTTTGCCACCACACCCAACTCTTTTTTTCTGGCACATGTTCTTCTTTATGTGAAAATGAATAATTCTGTGGTGCTAAAAATAGTGTTGTAGAGGCTGGAGAGGTGGCTCAGCAGTTAAACATTTGTTTTTTCGTTTGTTTGTTTGTTTGTTTGATTTGTTTTTTTTGTTTTTTTGTTTTTTCGAGACAGGGTTTCCCTGTGGCTTTATATTTGTTTTTTTTTTGTTTTTTTGTTTTTTCGAGACAGGGTTTCCCTGTGGCTTTAGAGGCTGTCCTGGAACTAGCTCTTGTAGACCAGGCTGGTCTCGAACTCACAGAGATCTACCTGCCTCTGCCTCCCAAGTGCTGGGATTAAAGGCGTGCACCACCACCACCCAGCTAAACAATTGTTCTTACAGAGGACTGGGGTTCTGTTCCCAGCACTCACATGGCAGCTAACAACTGTCTTTAATTCCAGTTCTAGGGAATCTGACACCTCTTCCAACCTCTGAAGGCTTCTTCATCCATGTGGTACACATAACATATACTCAGGTACACATAAAACTAGTACTAAAAAATAATGTGCTGGGCATTGCGGCACATGCCTTTAATCCCAGTACTCAGTAGACAGAGGCAAGTGGATCTCTGAATTTGAGGCTAGCCTGGTCTACTACAGAGCAAGTTCCAGGATAGTCAGGCTACACAGAGAAACTCTGTCTCAACAAACAAACAAAAAATAGTGTCATAAATGTGGAAGAAACTATTATCTTGCAGAACTTGTTGAAGTCATGTCTTCAAGACTCAAGTTTGTAGGAAAAAGAAGTTGCACTTCCTAGATATTTAAGACCTGTGCTTCCAAGAGCGCAGTTCAGTAATAAAAATAGAAATAACTGAATTTAGAAATAGAAAAGCGGCAGTTTGCCAAAAGAAGA